TTCACTCGGTGAAGTCCATTGTTTTGACTGTTCCTTCGTCTCGGATGTGAAGTAATGGATCCATATTTCGTCCAGTAATAAATCGACGCAGAAATTCGTCTGAATTACGTTGAAACATTGTTTTGAAATCGTCACACGGTCGCGCTTATGGTCCACAGTGAACAAACGCGGCACCCACCATTAAAATATTTTCTTTCCTGCATGATTAATAATTGCTTACTATATTATTGCTTATTATATTATTGTAGAATATACACATAATATATTAATAATAAAAGATTGAAATATTAAAATAAAAATCATGTAGGAAAGAAAATATTTTAATGATATTTGCCGGAAGATATGCTTCTATCATACTTTTTGTATCGCGACGCTTCTGGAGCACAGCGTCACGTGGGCTCGGCGAATCTCGAGTGGTAGTGGGGGCCTCAGGAATCTGCCGAAATGAGCAACTAATTCCGAGCACTGATCTGCAGAAATGAAACCACGTGATGAATTCCGCTCAAAATTTGGCAGTAATCAGCTGAAAAATGCTACTTGTCAAAAATGTGACATGACATTGCGAGTGCCCTCTGCCAAATTTTCTAAGAACTTATTGATTTGTACCCTCGTACTAATAAATAAAGTGTTGAAGGAAGTACGGTTAAGACTGTATCAATACGCTCCATGAATTCTTTGCGTAGTATTGAGGAGCGTATGAGAAATGTTAAAAAACGTTATGAAAAAAAAAAAAATTTAATATGTGGGAACTGTGACAGATGTATTTTAGACACACTTTACGGAGCGTTTGAGAAGAGTTCATGGAGCGTGTATGAATACAAAACCACTAAGAATCAATGGAAAGTCAATGAAGTGTTTAAAATTCTTTGTGAACACTTCTTTGACACTTCGACAAGCTTTACATTTTCATCACAGCATTTGTATATGTGCAACACAAAAATAATTCATTCACATGTTTCGAATTACAAAATGATTTTCCGTATTAGAGCCAAACTATTAGAGTCAAAAATAATATTACTATTTGCAGTAGTGGATTTAGACCGAAATTCACGAAGCTCGCGCTATCTTTCTAGGAGCCTAGGGGGACGCCATCCTTCTAGGGATATCGGTATAGAGACGTCATTTTTCTAAGAATCAAGATTAAGAGCCACTTTGATCAACTTCAATTAACTTTGATCGATGATTAATTCAATGGAATTAATCAATTTGTCATTTCAGCTGCAAATGGCCAATTCTAATGAACTAACCATCGATTAAAGTTGGTTGAAGTGGTCCTAAAGTTAATTTTATATTTGTGCAGATTGACAGATATGGCGCATTTCCACCAATGTGGCACCTTAAAGTAATACTTTGGCGTACAAAATAAAATCTTGAAGCTTGGCGTAAAAAGTGGCGTTTTTTATCAGTACTTAAAATTATTCTTTATTGTTTATTTATCTGAAAAGGACATCAAGTATATTAAAAAGGCGAAAAGTACAGGACTTAGGGTGCAAAAATGTATAAATCCGCTACTGAGTAGACATAAAAGAGTGGACATGAAAGAGACATGTTTTGAAATCTCGTATTTTAACTAATTAAATATCGCCAAAAATTAAAAAATATTTTCATTTGATAATAATATATTGACGCCTACTACGAAGAGTTTTATTCTTAAGAAAAACAATATTAGGTTAGGTGTTGGAATTAATTCGTAGCGTTTTTTAATGAAAGAATGTTATTTATTTCACATGAGCATTAAAAAATACATTAATGAAAGTACTTCCCATCACTTGTAAAACGCTACGAATTAATTCCAACACCTAATACATGATTCCGCGAAAAGAAGCACGGTTCAATTTAATTGACGAATATTATCACGTTTCGGTCTTGGCTACGAAAACTAATATTTCGTAGCCAGCGTTTAGTCGCATTTAGTCGCGAAAAGTAACATATTTCGCTTTATACCGCGAAAATATGTTTGAATGTTTTATTACGAAGAGTAAGATAAGGTTGTCTATTATGGGATAGATTCCCAATATGAGATAGCGGGATATCTGCTAAACTAATAAGCGTAATATGATTGATTTTATTATGTACTTGTTATTTATAGAGTGAAACATATTTAGTAGAAAACTCATTATTAGATCATGTGTGTAGTAGTTGTAAAAAAAGATTTTTGAAATTGAATGTTGTCGAATTTTATTGAGGTTAGTCTTCAAATCTTATTTTATTATATAATAAATAAATATTTGGTAATAAAGTGTATACAGTGATAGAGTAAGGTCGTATTAATAGGAAAACACGTGATATAATGATTTGTTTAACTGTAAAGATTAGATTTTGGTGATCATGAAACCGCAAGACATGGAAATCGTAATATGAGATACTCAAGATATTCCTAGCTATATGACAGCATCTAAACGATTCAATATCTCAAAGCATATTATTGAACAAAATGTTAAAAATGACGATTCTATTATTAAGATTACTCACACATACGTACACACATATTCACATATACACACAAAAAATTATATAATTATTATGTATAACATTTAAATTCTTTGTTCCTACTTATATGTAGTATAATAAAAGCATGTATAAAAAGCTTACCTTTATTTTTTCCTTAGTTTTCTTATGAGATACCACCTTATACAAGACAATCCTTGTATCTCATATTAGGAACTCATTTTTTGAATGAGCAAAATCAGCACTTTCGATAAAAAAATTTCACATACAACAAAGTATAGCTACTATCGATCGCTAACTTTAGGTGGTAAATCTTGAATATATTTTTCATAAAATTGACACGAAAATAGGAGTTAAGGTTACAAATTAAATAAATTACAAGTCTTTAAAAAAGGGCATCTCATATTAGGCGACTTTACCCTAGCACGTTTCCCTTTAAACTAACACGTTCCACAAAAACTAACACGTTCCAGCGATGAAAGGCGAACCGCTAATTCATTTGCTAAGGCATTCATTGATTCATTTGTTCTTTCTTTCTTTTGTCCATTCATACATTCGCTCATAATTCCGTTTGTTCGTTCATTAAATTATATCTTTATAACCTTACGGACTCACAAATTTTTTGTATTTTCTGTACATATGTTAACTCGACACTGTAAAAACGTTGGACTAAAAATAAAATTATACAACAACAAAATTATACTAAAAAACAATAATAATGGTGCATTCATTTTACTATTTGAAACCAAAAATAAAATTATTGGTATAAGTATTTCTACTTTTAACCTTTGATAGTCACCGAAATTCTTGAAGGATAGTCCACAACTGTATTACTTTTTACGGTATAAAGTGAAACAGACTACTTTTCGTAATCAAACCATCAAACATATTAGTTTTCGGAATATAAAGTGAAATATGTTTTCGCAGCTAAAGGTCATTAAATGTTGAAACTAATGCTAATGATACTGGGTATAAGGGCACCCAGATACTCGCTCATTATTCGAAACATGCGGGTAATACCTGGGTATCCGTACTAGTCGTATTACCCAGTTATCCGTATTAATCATGTTATCCGAGTACCCGTGTCAGATATATTATCCGATGACAGATATTACCAGTACAGGTTTTTATTTTTGATCAATAGAATGCTATTTTCATGCATTAATGTCAAATCTTTACTTTCTACGATTACACATTCCTGGAGCATTCGGAATTTAGACTAATTTAGAGTCATTAATCATGTTTTTTTTAAAAAGTTGAATGTATGGAAGTATACCATTTCAATAGTAGATGAGACAAAAGCAACTTGTAAAATATATGGCGACGTTTTACCATACAATGGATCAACATCAGCATTGAACAAATAAAACTTTTTTGCTTGGACTTATCGTCTTCAAGAGTCGAAAATAATTTGTATTTATATTTTAATTGTTTGTTCCAGCGCGTACTCGGCCATCTTCATTGTGTTTCTGTTCACGTCAACCAATGTTCCTAGCTTTGAGTTTTTTTCATCTTACCATGTTTTTTGGCTTAATAATGTCGGATTCAATAGTCTCGGAGTCGGTCAAGATTAAGAGAACATAAGAGACATAGAAAACGCTCTCATGAGAGTGGGAAAAAACGCGGAAAATCACATTCTTGTTCGTGTCTTGAGGTTAAGTGTTCTCGTCTCTTTTCTGAGAATCATTCGCAGTCGTCTTCGTCGAGGCTTCTCCAGCGGTCGACGACGCAGCTCTCCTAGAAAGAATTCTCGAGACAGTACAGGACCAGGAGCGAAAAATAGTTTGGAAAACGAGATTAGGGGACACGCTCTGAGTTCCCCGAAATCGCATTCACAAGAAGAGCCGACGGCTCTTCTGCGGCACAGAAATGTACATTCCATCACCCGCTTCCCAGCGTTTTCTCAACTTTAATACCAAGATCCTTTGATCCGCCAAATCGCTCGGTCACCTTTGAAACTGCGGATGCCGAGGATGGTGAACCATCCCTCATTAGCCAGCTTTTCCGCACTCAGCGTGATTCGCTTGAGAATCTAACCCTGAGACCAGACCATACTCGATTTCACCAGATCTACTGTTCGAACGGGACTGCCAAACGATTTGCGTACGCAGCTGCTGTCAAAATTTGAGGTTAAGGAGGGACTCTCAGCTTTAAGCCTGCCTAACAAGATGCTTCTACCGGTACTTAAGGCCTCTTCCACGGTATCTAAGAAGGACGAATACCAGTCGCAGGTGACAGTTATTGTTAGTCGGCTCCGTCCCGCAATCGGAAGCGAACATGCCACCTCACTCACAAAAGTGAGATATGCGACAAACTACTATCTACCAGCTAGCGAAGCTGCCCCGAAAATGGCGATGGAAAAACCCAGCAGCGCCTGCAGGGCATTTCTGCAGGAATGAGCAGTTTCGCCGCGAAACGTCTCGAGTCCTCTTGAGGCGCCTCACGCCCACGGGGAACCACAGGGAGGCCCACTCATTTGCATCTTGACCCCAGACACACGCTCTGACCCTGTAAGAATGTTCGTGATGCGTTTGTCCTCGGTTGAATGTTAAATGAAAACCAAACAACCATACACAATTACTCTATTCCCACAACAAGCACACGCTTCCGATAAAGATGCATCAAAAACGCCGGGTTAGTTGGTGTGGAGAAAATCGCAGGTGACAGCTGCCCTGAATGCTTTGGGCATGGGGCTCTGTTGTCTCACATAGCCTGAGGTATTCTCATTTTTACCGGAGGAGCAAAGTTGATGCTCAGCCAAATCGCTGAGGCCATACTTAGCGGATCATCAATACAAGTTATCCTTAGCCAGACGAGCCTTCATAAAACCTGCCTTGAACCTACTGGATAAATCGACAGCCGATCTAGTCCCGATAGATGAGTGGCTTTTCGGCGCCTCTTTCATGGATAAGGTTAAAGATGCGCAGGCCTGCGAAAAAGTGGCTCCTCGTCAGAGCTCCCGCAGCAACTTTCAAAATCCCTTCTCAGTCGGTGGAAAAGGCCCAATCGACACGGAAGCAAGCTTCGCGGGAAACGCGAAAGCCCCTGCCCGTCAGTCGAATCAGCCGCATCGCCGAGCAGGAGCTTACCAAGCAAGGAACCGACATCGTAGATCGCTCTCCCGCTCCCGCGCTTTTAAACTCGATAAGAGGCCACAGGCCGTCTAACTAACTTTCTGCGCAAATGGAAAGCGTTAACATCGAATTTTGAGGTTCTGAGCGCCATTCGAGGATATAAGATTCCTTTTAATTCAAGGCCACCTTTGCGCTCTCAGCTCAAAGAACCAATTTTTACTACCATAACGTCTGCCTGCTGTACAGCGGAAATAGAGAGACTGCTAGATAAAGGGACCATCAATCCGGTACAGCCATCGTCGGATCAATTTCGTTCTTCCTTCTTTTTAATCGAGAAATCCTCTGGGGGCATTTATCCTTAATTATTTTATCCGGTTTATCCTTAATTATTATTTGAAAGATCTTAATGCTTACATTAATCCCCATCATTTTAAGTTAGAGGGCTAACGGACGGTAGTAACGCTTATTGCTGCCGGATATCGAAATAGCTTGATCTTGAAAACATTATTTATTAGTACTAATTTATCCTTCTTGCAGGAAATATTTGAGATTCCAGTGGCAAGGAATCACTTACGAGTTTGCTGCCTTCCATTCGGCTTAATCACGGCCCTATACATTTTCAAAATTCTGCGCCCAGTGGTCGCGTCTCTTCGGCCCAAAGGTTACGAGTCGGTGTTGTACCTGAACGATTTTCTTATAGGCTGGAGCGTTTCCTCGGCTTCGGACTGAACTCACGGTGGTGGTCGGTCGAAGAAAAGACTCTACACATTAATGAAACTCAAAGCCGCCTTTTATAGTTTAAAATTTTGCGTCTCATCTCAGAGGTAAGATTCTTCTAAGAATAGATAACCACAGCCATGCTTATATTAATCGACTCCGTTAAATATCCCCATTTATCATCTTTTTCTAGGGATATTTGGCAATGGTGCGAAGCTAGAAATATCTGACTGTTCGCCTCCTACAGTGCCTCTGCCGAAAACACTATTGCGGCTGAAGAGTCTCGTTGTCAGGACGCAGATATGGAATGGTCTCTGTCCAGAGAAGCTTTTCAGTTAATTGACAGGGAACTCGGTATTGACTTCCTTTCGATATTGACTTATTTGCCTCCAACATTAATACGAAATGACCTTTTTGTTTCATGGTTTCCGGATCCAGAGTCTTTTGCAGTCGACGCGTTTACTCTTGACTGGAGGGAAACTTTATTTTTACGCTTTCCCCCCTTTTATTTTACTCCCTCGGGTTCTATGAAAAATCATTAATGAGCGGAGGGGGTTGTAACCGTTCCGTGGTGGCCGTCGCAATCCTAGTTTCCTTTCTTCAGGCATCTCATGATCTTGGAACCGATCATATTAAACCCAGCGGATAATTTATTGTCTTCTCCTTTTAGGATCCGTTATCCAGCAGCCAGCTCGCTTTCCCTGGCGGCAGGGCGTCTGTGGACGTCTCAAGCAGGTTTTTCAAGGCGTCCCTCAGCGCGCCGTTGACACCATTATAGCATCTCTCGCGCCATCGACTATCTGCCAATATTCAAGCCCTCTGCGCTCCTGGTGGAAATACGCTCATCGTCATCACTGTTCACTGTTTACACCGGAAACCAAAGACGTTCTTCTTTTTCTGTCAGGCCTATCGCAAACAGTACGTTCCTATTCTACGCTTAACGTCGCCAGGTCTCGCTTATTTCAACTAACGCGATCAGCGACAAATCTCTCATCGGGCGGCTCTGTAAAGGCGTCAGCGTGGAGTCATCTCGTCCATGCTACGATTACATCTGGGATCCCTCCCCGCTAGTGACGAAACTGGCCACTTTCTTTCCTCACGAATCCTTATCGTTAGAAACTCTCACGAAAAAGTTAATTTTGTTTCTGGCTCTGGCACCAGGTCAGCGTTGCCAAATCCTAGCGGCGATTCGTGTCTCGCAAGTTTCGATCTCGGCGGAGAGGGCTTTCATTTGTATTCCAGACTGTCTAAAAACCCCAGATCGGTCCCAACCATTGTTATCATTTCTCTGCTTCGAGGGACACAGAAATCTATGCGTTGTCACCTTGCTCTCTGATTATATTTCGCGGACTCGAGATATTCGCCCTTCAATCTGTAATTCTCTTTTTATCGCGTTCAAATACCCACACAGCAGTGGCACATCCCAGACTATCAGTCGCTTAGATTCACCTTATCAGATTGCGGAGTTAACAATGTCTTTTCCGCACACGCGGCACGCCATCTCTCGCGGCTCGGAAAGGTGACCCGGTAGATCTTATTAAGCGTGCGGCGGGATGGTCTGGCAAATCTCGTGTCTTCGCAAATTTTTGTAATAGACAGATTATAGATATAGATTTGCTAATGTTATGGTTTTACGCGCAGACCAAGAAACATCTTAACTTGGCGCGCCATGCCGTTTCGGCAGTTTTCCAGATTGTTTGGTGTTAACTTCAATGGTTATTGTTACATGTGCATTAATATAAATATATAATATGCTTAAGGAAAAGCATTATTATAAACATAAATAGTTATAGCTTACATAAAAAAAAACACGTCATCTCCCGACGCTGTAACTATATCCAAACTTCTTTTCAGATAATTTTTCCGCTTTCTACTTTATGGTGACACGGACAAGTCACGTTCTAAACATCTACAATTATTACTCCCTCCGGATAAGACCTTGAGGCATAATTTATAGATCAAACGAACTTACCAAGTGAAGTTCGATCATAATTATGTCGAATGGGTCTCGTCCGGACAGAGTATCCTTCCCTTGACCTCTCCAGCGTATATATTACTAGATGACTCACCCGAATCTTTCCTGTTCTAAACTATGAAGATGGCCGAGCACGCGCGGCACCGAAAGCGCCGCTGTACGGAAAGGGAAAAATTTCTTTTTCCTTTCCCCTAGATTTTGAATTCTGTTGGCTGAACGTGCACGGGCGCACTATTATAATTATTACTCCATCCATACGAGACCCATCGGCATAATTATGATTGAACTTCACTTGATAAGTTCGTTTGATCTATAAATTATGCTACAATTTTAAAAAATTGTACACCTAAGAAAATATTTTTATTCTTAAAATTTTTGTTTTATAATCGTATATGATTGTCTGAGATATTTGATTTCTATTCAGATAGAAAGTGTAGTTCTTCTTACTTAATAAAGTTCAACAGATTTTTTTTTGTTTATGTATCTTTTATCGTATTGTATATATCTTATGTCTCTTGTTATCGTATATTATTAATGTTTTTAAAAAATGAACGGATGGGAATAATAGACTAATCATAGCATAGAACTGTATGACTTATTTAGTGACGACTGTTATAGTACTTACTCAAAACTTTATTCCATTAAAGAGATTTACCTCAATTGTAAAAGTGTTATAAGTTTAATTCCCTCATATCCAATTTCGGAAATTAGGCTCATTCGATGTATTTTTGCACGAAACGAACAAATTTTGCAAAAAGAAGCATTGTTCTGCCCTGCGAAGCGAATGTTTGTGTTTAAAATATATTTTTATAAAAACTTTATTAATATGTAGCTAAAGATGTAGCTTAAAATACATTAATCTTCATTTTAATAATCTTAATCAAATTACCCTAATTCTGGGGCTAGTTGAATCAGATAGAATGCATTAGAAAAATGAATTTTTTTTATATTAGTTATCAGTTTCTCCTTATTATTAAAATATTATTAGGTAGTCAAATGTATATAGTAACTGGTGTAGAATTCATTTTTTCGATAAGTAAGTCTTTTAATTTCATCTGTAAAAATTCGAAACTGAAAAATGAGTCAACTTCGACAAGTATGATCTTATTCTTCAAGTATTGCACACATATTTAACCCTTTGAGACTCATTGGACCAGTCATCACAACAGCGAAAATCTTCATGCAATGGTTATAACAATTATTGGACGTGGGAAAAACTTCATGGCGGTTTTTTAGTAAAATTCAAGTATTTTTCTTAGAATATTAAAATCAATTTATTTAAACCATATATGCTTCATTATTTTCAATAATATTTTGCAATTTTTGGGGCAGAACCATAATCCCATCGCGATAGAACTCCAATAGATTTTGTAGAAGGTGAGTCAGAGTTAGTTTCAGGATTTAATGTGGAGTATTTTAGGGGGAGATTTGCATTAATTTTTATGGCAGAGTATGGGATGACTTCTGGGTATGAACTTCTGTGATTTCGAAAAACTGCTTCAAGTGATTTTCACAGACCTCTTTTGAAGCCAGCTTACACCATTAAGAGAGTTCTACAGAGACCTAAACAAATGATAGTCTGAGGGTGCTATGTCAGGACTATACGGTGGATGCATTAAGACTTCCCAGCCAAACTCTCGCAATTTTTGCCGAGTTATCAAAGATGTGTGTGGTCGAGCATTGTCGTGATAGAAGACGACACCCTTCCTATTGATTAATTCTGGCCGTTTCCTCTCAATTGTTTATTCTAATCTCTCCAGTTGTTCACAATAGTTCGGAATTAAATGTTTGATAGGGCGATAACAACTCATAGTGAACGATTATTCCCTTCAAATTCCACCACACACACAACATCACCTTCTTTGTCATCAATCCAGGTTTTGCGATTGCTTGTGCCTTATCTCCTTCCTTTATCCACGATCTTTTGAGTTCGATTGTCGTACGTGATCCATTTTTCATCACCAGTTATCATTCTCTTCAGAAATGGCTCAATTTCATTCTGTTTCAGTAGCGTATCGTAAATGTTAATTCGGTCCATCATGTTCTTAACACTCAACTCGTGAGAAATCCAAACATCAAGCTTCTTTTTGTATCCAGCTTTGTGCAAACGATTTAAAACTGTTTTTATGGTCGATGCCTAATTCCGTGGCAATCTCCACAGTACTCACATGCTTATCACGCTTCGACTTTTTCTATGATTTCATCGGACTTTTCAGTGATTGGTCGACCGGAGCGAGGTTCATCTTTCACATCGAAATTTCCAGTACGAAAACGAGCAAACCATTTCCGTGCTACTGATTTTGATAGAGTATCTTCACCGTAAATAACACAAATTTTTTCATAAGCCTGTGCAGCATTCTTGCCCTTATCGTAGTAATACTGCAAAATGTAGCGAATTTTTTCCTTATTTATTTCCATTCTCAAAATAAAATAACTTTTTATCCACTTCACCGATTTCAATCTTTTTCGGCTCAAAACAAAGGTTGAAATGTCATTTTTTAAACGCATGTCTAGTGTTGTCTATACAATTAGTAGTTACCGACTGCTGAGCATTTAATGTCATCTAGTGGGAAAAACGCTACGAACTTTTTCCCAATATATATTATATATATATATTGGTTCTCTTTTTTGATTCTCACCTTAATAATCATGAAAATACGAGTATGATTATTAACTCTCAGTACACAATCCCAAAAATCTCTATACATATACAATGATATTTTTAACTTGACATTTTCTTTTGTTTGCATCTTGGATTGTAATGCATCGACTTTAATTAATTTTTTTTTAATTGATTGTTTAAAGAGTGAAAAATAAGAATTTTTAAGTAAAAAAATCGAAAAAATCATAGCACAAAAGATATTTTGCAATAAGTAAGAAAGGATCGGAAAAAAATATACAACTTTCAGAATTGATTTTATTATTCTATATACTGAGGATTAAGATTTTTAGGGTCAAATATAATATAAAAAATTCAAAAGGGCTAATCCGAAATAGTGAAATATTTGTCAAATTTATCAAGAAAGTCTCTCTGTAACGTTCAATCAAATGATTGTTATTCATATTATTATTTAGCAGTGATTCATATTTGATTAGAGACCTAAATTTTTTTCCATATGTTGTTCAAATATTGCGATTCTACGCGTATGATACATAATTTTCTATCAAATACAAAAAACAGTGATAATTATAGTTGGAACAGCAAAATATTTTTTGCATGACAGTAATTATTAGATTCTTATCTTTAAAAACAAAATAATATTATAAATAATTGTGTGTATTATTATTAAGGTTTTTTTATATAAGAATTTATAATTTACTTGTTTGTATCATCAAAATACGTTGCTAGACTGTACAAATAAACTGTAGTACTGTACAAATAAACAAAAACAAAATATTCTTTTCATTACTAATTACGCAAATAAAATCTCTCATTGATGTGTATCTCGGAAACTATTGATACGAGAATGAATAAAAAAAACCATTTTGTAGAAAATTTAATAATCTTCAATCTTCATAAGAGTTATTTTATACTCAAAAGTATACCAAAATCTGTTTACAAAAAAAGTTCGAATTGTCAAAAATACAATACACTTAAAAAAATTTTCACAGAAAGTATTGATCGTAAGACTTTAAAAAAAACAAAATTGTTCTTAATTTTAACTTTCTTTTTGATAATGATCTTTATTTCGATAAAATGAATACTTTCTGAGATATTTCTGAAAAACGTATTTTTTATTATTTTTTTAAAGCTGGAAAGTTTTACATTGTCCGTTGGCAATTACTTTTAATGTGTTGTATAATCTTTTCAAACAGTTTTCTGCGAACAAATCTTTTATGACAATTTTATGTCTAAAATGCAAAAAAGAATTTAATTTTCCTAGGTATTACATGATTTCCAACATTTATTAAACGTATTTTGAATGTAACTGTATTGCTTGCAAATTATATAAAAAACATTAAACTCTTTTATAAATGGAGAAAGTGAAGTAATTGTGTATAAGCGGGTAATTGTGCGTATTTTGGTTTAGCACTTTTCCGATAGAGCCGCTATCGCAGCGAAATTTCTAAGCTAGACGTAATTTTTTTCAAATATAACCATAAGTTAATCTGAAAATGTAATTAACAGCAAAAGTGAGGAATTACATATTTGACATCCAGAAAATAAGATGGTAAATTTTTATTTTATTTATTTAATCGTATATACCTTACTGAAATACTTTATAATAGCGTCTTTTGAGCTATTATTCATTCAAATAAATAAAAAATTCTTTAAGTAATCGTTTTTCTTATCAAATCATGGAAAATTGTGCGCATTGACAATTCAAAGTTTCCTCCCAATGAAAAGTGTACTATATGCAAAGAAATTCGGAAGATGGAATTCTGCCCAATCGACAAACTAAAAGTAACATAATATTAATATTATAATTTTGTATTCCACAATATGATATAAGGAATAATATAACATAAATATAATATAACATAAGGAGTGCATTCAAAGAGCGCGCTATCAGCGCCATTTATAATACTATCCTTATCTCACGTCTAATGGACGATGAAGATAGAATGACACAAATAGCACTAATAGCGTCTCCCGAAATGCAGCCATGGTATTACATACAAATAGCCTAAGAAACATACCAAGTCGAGAGAAAATAAAAATAACGTACTTTGACGTTAAAATAATGATTTTTTGTTACAAAATTTGACTGTTTATTTACTTTAAGCAAATAAAGTCATTTTAATATCATTTTAATTTTTTGTTGACTTTTGTATATTCCTTAGCAGTTGCATTGACATTATGTTACTTTTAGTCTGGAGTGGACTGAGTGGTTTCAATGCTATCATGTTCTGAATAGGTCCATGAAGAATGTGGAGCTGATGACACTGAGAATAACACATGCGATTTTTTTTTAAATAATTTTTCCAATTTTTGTACCACTTTTTCAAAATTTATATTAATTTTGTATTAACATTAGTATAATAATATATTTTTTCATTTTCTTACCAACATTTCATGAAATATTTTTTTATGAAATATTTATTTTATTAATTTTATTTTAATTTCTTACGATTTTTGCTCTGCGCGCAATTATCCGACGCGTTAAAAATTTTTTTGCTTTTGCTTTTTTTATTTTTTATTAAATATAACATTATCAAATATAAAATTATTCATGCATATCAATAGAAAGATATTTATAGTTTGTATATTGACTTCAATTTCAAATATCACAGAAATTTCTCTTAAATGTGCTCAATTTCCCCACTTTCTCCTATAGATATACAATAGTAATATGAGAAAAAAATATTTAAAAAATCTCTTCAGTTTTGTTGTTAAAATTTATTTTATTAACATTGATTATTTAATTAATAAATATATTGTGATTAATAAAATTAAATTATGATTAAAATATAATTTTATAAATAATGTGATTCCTTGAAATTAATTTATCTTCTACACACAATAAATAATTAAATAGATATAAATAAATAAATAAATAAACAAAGGAAAATCAATCTTATAAATAATAAATGCGTATATACTAATAAGTACAGTTAGACACGTTAATAATTTGGAAATATATAGTAGGAAATATAATGTATTAATTATAAATATATAATAATGTAAGAAATAAAAAAAATGTTTTAAAGAACGTCTTAAAATAAAATAAACAAAAGTACAATAAAATAAAAATAAAGAAATCAAATAAAAAATAAGTATACATAAAATAAAAATTAGCAACATAAAATCCTCGATCACCTCGAGCGACCGAACAGACAGCTTAATTGACTGGTAAATCCTTGTACATTCTGTAGACCAGCGCGTCGGCCGTTCTCTCACTAAGTCCCTTGGTGGCAAAGTCATCAGCGAGCATTGCGGCGACTGCCTCTGCAGCTATTAAACCTAAAGGAGGAGAAGGAGGAAAAGGAGGAGGAGAAGAAAAGTCAATGACAGAATGAAAAATTAACCAAGTTAATGTTGCGCGAGATCGTTTCGTTACGAGTTCATTCGGTCGCGTTCACAAGAAAGCGAGAACTTTTACTCGAATATATCGACGTTACTGCAATCGACTCCGACAATCCGCGACATTGATTCAGATCAGAACGCTTTGTATATATCCTGTTTTTCCTCGTATTCCCAAAGCGAAACATTTTAAGAATGTATACAAAATATTTTAAAATCTAAAATACAAAATCATTTTTACCTTCTCTCTACATATACTGTTTATGATAATTGCCAACGATGTACTTGTTCTCGATATAATCATATTACCGATCGATCTATGTTACTTTCCAAAAAAGAATTCAGCTTTTCATTTTATCAAGTAATTACAGAAGAATCGCGTCACACAATAAAAACAATTGACTACACATAATTGGCAAGAACCGGATTTTTAACTGTCAACCAATTTTTTATAATTAACTGCTAATAATTATTTATACTTATTTGTTTCCGTTAAAAAATGAAATATGCTGAGAATTATAACACTTCAGTTTTCTTAAAAAAGCAAATATTAAAATTTGTAATAAAAGTAAAAGCGATAAATATAATATATAAAACAAGAACATATAAGTTACAAGGTCTTTTTCACAAAAATTTGAATAAACTTTGAATGTAATTGTTACGCAAAAAGACCTTTTATGCTCTTTATTTACTGATTTGATTAACTTAATGTAATTTGCATCTATGTTTAAATTGTTCAAACTTACCATGACTGAGAATGGCTTGCACTGATCCTTTCTCGTCCATACCTTGAAGATTGATTTTCTTATCTTTCGCAGATAGCTTCGCTCTAGCACCACGAACTATTATCAAGTCTTCATTAACTTTCTTCAATTCCAGTGTAAAGTCGCCCACTACATCGGCTGTGAAAGCAATAAGAATGTATAATTTTGCATCATTTTCAAGCACGATGTTTCGCAAAATGCGAGTATTTTCTTACTAAAATTCCCAACAAATAGACCGTTCCCATGTAACATCTCCTTTCCCACTTTTCCCATAAGCGTGTATTGAGACTTTACTCGAAGCAGCGGGACGCGTATTCTCAAAATCACATGCATCACATTGTCCTAAAACGTTTCCAAACATATAAATAAATTACAATAGTTTTATCATTATAGAAATTTATTGACTAAAAAACATTCTCGAATAATTCAATTTTCTTATTAAATCGGGGATGTTTATTTAAATAATCTTACTTCATCAGATGTCAATTCAGAATGAGCTCGTTTTGTTCTTTTGGTATCACTTAAGTTTTGAGAGACGCTATTATTTTTTACATTCATTCCACCATAATGATAGATCAGCTGCATGCCTTCCTCGAAGTACCCTTGTTGTTCTTGATAGTCTTTCGCATATCTGATTAGATCCTTCAATCTTTTGGCTTCTATCACAGCTTTAACTATGTCGTTCCTCTTTCTTAAAGCTTCACCTTCCGTAAAATTGTAGATAATGAATTTTATATTTTCCCGAATATTCTGTAATAATAATAAGGATTTGCAATTGAAACATCTTGTAAATTATACAAACTTTTAAAAATAAAAATAGAATTTTGTACAATATTTAGTACAATAATTTAAAAAGGATCATAAATTAAGATAAATGAAATCTTAAAGACCTTCATGACGTTTTCAATGCCATATACTCGCCGATTTCCTTGAGAATCGGTATGCAGATTCCCGAAACGTTTTACACTACCATTGGTTTTATCATCTGCATAAATAATGTCGATGTAATTGGATTGCTCTTTTGTTACATTTCTTGACGATTTAATTTTGCTAGAAGATGCAATGTCTAATCGTTGAGATTGTTCTCTATTAAACGATACAGGCGGTCTTGTATCTTGATCTTTCAAGCTAATCTCGACTATTTCTGATGCAAAAACCTGTTTCATTCAATTTTGTAATTTAAAAATGCTTATTAATTACACCTTATTTAATAATACGTATAAATTACTCAAAAGTATTATATAATAAAAAATGATTTTGCTGAAATATCTAAAAATGTAGCTAGATACAAATTTGAAAATAATGTTGTTGTACATCAAATATTTATAAAGAATACTGAAGCATGTAATGAACAATGATACATTTTTAATATTTTAGTAACCAACTTGAACATCCTATATAAATTATTTTAATAGTTCAACAAAAGTATTTTTAAATCTATATTTATTCTAAATTTTAAAATAGTTCAACAAAACTGTTCAAATAATATTATAATAAATATAATTAATAACTTGCTATTTATATTATAAAGAAAAATTGACTTGATTGAATTATAATTAAATTATAAAATATTATTATAAGATAAAATAAATTTTTAAACCTCAGCATCCCCAATTCGTTCTCCGTTATATTCGGCATTAAGATTTTGTTGATTATATCGACTATCTTGGTGTCCTCTAAACTGGGAAGTCTTTGTATTATCGCAATCAATGGTATCTTTATTATTCTGTGGACTTCTATGATATTCTTGAACGCCTTTCGTGTTTTGTATATAAATAGGCTGAATATAGGCCGGCCGCTTAAAACTTTCGGCGTTTCCAGAATTTGTCTCAAAATTGTTTGATAATCTCAAATTGCCTCTATAAGACCCATCAGATATGATATCAGGACGCAAAGGAATCTGGCGATCATATTGCCGATTTTGCTCGAACATTCTGATGCCATGTTGATCTTGCAATCGATCAAAACGAGCATCTTGATATCGCAAAAAAGATTTTATATCAGCAGCTTGATTCGTGGGCGAAATGATGGCTTGAAAACTTTCTTTAGGCACACTGGGTTCCCTTGTCACAGTGTGGAATCTATATCTGATAGAATCCACATCTCTGAAATCGCTGTAGCTTACGTACCCGGCTTCCGTTTCACTCAGATTGGACTTTAATCCACCACGAGCGACATGGACGCTTTCCAAGACCGATCCGTTAAGACCGATAATCTCCAAGTTCTTCAGAATCACTCTGTAATTAGCATCGCCCTCGGATTGATCAATCTTGATTAACGGCACCCTCATCGGATCCAGTTTGCCTATTTTCGTCATGCCTCCTGACACCGTCTTGTTCCACAGCATTTGGGACATCTCTAGCAATCCACATCTCGTTAAAGTTATCATAGAGAGCATCAAAAGCAGGTAAAGAATACTTCGCTGCTCTAATTCACCCATTTTGTCGCAATCGACGACTTATGCCAAACTTTTTTTTAATTTTAAGACACTAGATATTGATAAAAATGTCGAATTTTTCAGTCGTATTCTTTTGAAATCTATAGAATTGAATGAAAAATTCTTCAATAATGCACGTCTTTCAAACGTAAATCGGATTTATGAACACTAGTATGATATCAATAAACAAGTATCAATAAAAAACACACGATAATTATACATATTAGTATACAATTCAACATTCATTAATGCATCTCATAAGTTTATGCACAATTCTAGAATAATATCTTAGGAATAATAATTTACGATTTCTTGGAAACTAATATTCAAGGAAGATTGACAATCGCGAGCAAACATAGAGGGCTGTAGACTACAAGCCTGCGATGCACTCGATAGAGGTTTTTATAGTTGATCATGGAAGGATATAGAAGATCTGGGTCATGGATCAGTCTTTTATGATGCTAGTTAAGTGGTTCTTAGTCAGACATCAATATATTTTCTTCGACACAACATTTTCTTAAATTCCTTCATTACGCGATGACGTAATGGAGAGCAAGGTCTTCGGATAACCTCCTACTAATAGGTATTGCAAATAATTATCATAGATAAAAATCTAGATTTCAAGTAAGTACATTTTTTGTAAAAAGAATAAATTAAAAGGATTAATTAATAAAGATCAATTAATAAGATTAAAAATTAAATTGTATTTTATTGCACATTCATCAAATACAAATTTAACTGTTTCACAAAGAGGAAAAATATCGTTTCATGTCGAATAAGCATATCGACTCATAATGGGATTCATAAAGAGGAACAATCGCCTAATCAGCGCATTGCGATGGTCGAAATAAATTCATGCATTCAGTGACACTTTTAGTGATACTTTGACGTACTGAGTTATACGCATGAAATTCATCGTAAACAGAATGCATATCAGTGCACATATATTAACATTCTTGTTTTTAATATCTGCATTTGTTGCAGTGAGAACTCGCAATATACGTAAGTATTAATATCAATTATTTTACAAAAAAAATACATGTATATCTATTAGGTGTTGGAATTAATTCGTAGCGTTTTACAAGTGATGGGAAGTACTTTCATTAATGTATTTTTTAATGCTCATGTGAAATAAATAACATTCTTTCATTAAAAAACGCTACGAATTAATTCCAACACCTAATAATTTTATTTATACTATTTTATTTATATCTATTTTTATTTATTATTACAAAAAAGATATATGTGAGTGTATAAAGTATTTTATATTAATAATTTTCAGACAATTTATAAAAGACAAAGTAATTAAAAAAAAATAATGATTCTTTTTTACTTTCTTAAAAAATAAAATATTATTTTATAATTTGATTTCTATTTAATATAGCAAGAACTCGAAAGAATTAGCAATTTATTTTCAAATTAACACATTTATATATTTCTAATTAATATTAATCTTTTTTTATTAATTTTTGTATGTATCTTTTTAAGTATGAAATTTAATATTAATACTATTTACGTAAATTTCCTGTAATTGGATAAATCACATGAAAACAATGATACAAAAAGTAAAATAAATTTTTTAAAAAGAGAAGTCGCATTAATGTGGTACTTCATAATGTGATACTTAATATCATAATATATCATATTCTTTTACAAGAGCGTTCCATAAAACTAATAGTTTTAAAATTTAATATTTTGTATGTGTAACAACTTTTACTAATACAATAGATGATAATTCAAGTTTTTATTGATATTTTGATTTATTTTTCCAACGATTTATATTATATATATATATATTTAAAATCAAATATTAAATAATTATAATAATATGGCGATAGTAGTAACGGCGCGATAAGTCAAGCGCAAATTGTTTTTCAAATATATTTGTAACTAATCTATTACTTTTTAATACAATAATTTCCGAATGTTCTAGTCTCTTTTTGGATCATCTTCAGCAAATTGATATTGTAAATTAAAGTAAAAACCAAACTCAGATAATATAATTGTTTTTGCAGATATGACAAATGGTATAGGAAACAATGAGAGTAACATCAATTTATCTGAGATCTACTGGTCAAAGTATACTGGATATACTTCAATTTGATAAATTACGATTAAAAATGTGTAACATATCATTTAAATGTGGATAATTAGTATAAAGGTTGGACAAACAATTATTTAAGCCAGATAAATCAATCAATTAATTGTAAAAGTCAAATAAATATTGTTTGTCAGAAATGATTGTTTATTTGACATTTATACTAATTGACTAATTGTTCATATTTAAACAATATTTTACATATCTTTAATTGTAATTTATCTAATTAAAAATAATATAAAAGTAAATAATAGATTAATAATTATAAACTATAAAAAAGGAATATACAGCCCCCCCCCCTCCCAAAACGCTAGTTATTTGTTGCAATATCATATATTTAAAGGTATTATTACAAATTCATAAACGTTTCAGCCGATATTTGGCCTTCTTCAATATATTCTAATATATAAAGTTCTAATGTACTTGAAATAAATTATTATTGTACATTAGAATATTATATATTAGAACATACTGAAGAAGGCCAAATATCGGCCGAAATGTTTATAAATTTGTAATAATAACTTCAAATATTTAATATCGCGACGAATAACTGGCGTTTTGGCTGTATGTTTCTTTTTTAATTATAATATCTAATTAAAGCATATCCGGATTTTTGATCATTTTATCCCAGATAAATTAATGTTACTCTCATAGTTTCCAATACCAGCTACATCTACAAAGCAGAAATCCGAAAGATTTTTTTGGTTTGGTTCCGGTTCCAGTTTAATAAAATATCAAATAAATGTTCCGATTTCAGTTTTTTTTTTTTTTTTTTTTTTTTAAGAAAAAATCAAAATCATAAAAATTACAAGTTTTTAACAGTTTTTTTCTACTTACACGCATTATTCTATCTATTCTTTAAATTCATTCTATTAAGGAGAGGGAAGGGAAAAAGGGAGAGAGAGAAAGAGAGAGAGAGTGCATGTGCGTGCATGCGTGCGTGCGTGCGTGCGTGCGTGTGTGTGTGTGTGTGTGCGTGCGTGCGTTCGTGCGTGCGTACGTGCGTGCATGCGTGCGTGCGTGTGTGTGTGTGTGTGTGTGTGTGTGTGTGTTTACTCGTTCAATCCAAAGAGTCTTGTAGAAGAGAAGCATCAACTGATCACATGACTATGAACAAAAATTACATTAAACATTATTTTAAGCACATTTCTCTTGTTCTTTTCTTACAATTTATTTTATTCTTATATTTGATTCTATTAAATAAATCTCATTTACTACATAAAGTTTATATATGTATTCTTAAATTTCATGACTTAGAATAAATTCTTGCAATATATTGGTAAGAAAGATCCAAATAAACAAAATGCTAATATCTTTAAAAAAGCGTATATAAAAATATGTCTTGCAGTCCTGCCAGATCCTTATCATATGAAGTGAGTATTGATGATATTTGCATTCCGGTTATCAAGAGAGCCGGCAACAAGTGGTATTGGATTGAATAATGATGATCTATCTGAGCGAAGAAACGAGCGAAAATAAAGATTAAAAACAGGGATAAAGATTAAAGATTAAGAACCGAAGAAAACCATAAAGTTTTATCGTTTCGGTATTATAAACTTTACAAAATTTAGATACAGATTTCGATTCATTACAAAAAAATCCGATTTCAGTCCGAATCCCTGCTACAAAGACAATTATACATCATGACCTGAGCTTGGTTTTTTCTTCAAACATCAAACCGCTGAAAATGATCTATCAGAAAAAAATCAAACGTCCAAAAATTATTGTAAAGTAAATTGGCTATAAATATGTATTTGAAACAATTTGCGCTCACTTACTACGCCATTACTATCATTGCCATATTATTACAATTTTTTTTACCAAGAGTCCATTTTTATTTATTTCAAATATTAAATATTAAATATTAAATATTAAATATTAAATTATTGAATTATTAACATAAAACATTATTTTAACAATATTTACAAAAAAAAATTCACATCACAAAACATATGTTTACTAGCACCGTTTCTAAAGATATGCCACCGCAATGATCCAAATCTGAACGAATGCATAAAGCAAAGTATCAACTCGTTAAAGCCTTATCTGAAAACGGGCATTCCAGCATTACAAATACCATCTTGTGAGCCACTTCACGTACCACAGATTAAAATTAACGAGTCAGTCGGTCCAATTTCCATCAAATCGATATATACCGACATCGAGGTTCAAGGAGGAACGAGTTTTATTTTAAAGAGCGTCAAGTATGTTTATCATTTTACATTTTATTTATAAGTATTATTTATAAATTTTTTATGAGCCGCACATACCTTTGCCCTACGAGTAGCCGTATATCCCATCCCTATGGAATATATGGCAAAAATACAAGAGTTTCAAAAAGTTCTTTTTTTAATATGAAAATAAATATTTCGGATTTCTAATATTTCTTTCGTAGTAGACAGTACAAAGTTTTTACTGATATAGTTCATTTACCTTAAAAATAGTAAATAATACTTAATAAATTAAGTTTTTGTTAAGTGCAGCGTATATACCGGAGTTGCCCTATATCAAATTGTGTTAAAATTATTTTTATCATAAATCCTCAAAAATTTTGCATAGAATTTATTCAGAATTATCTTTTTCAGAATCGATATCGATAATAATCGCATTAGATTAAAACTGTATCTTCCACGTCTTGAGATGAACGCACGCTACAATATAGAAGGAAAAATTTTGATGATGCCTATAAATGGAACTGGATTGGCGCGCGGCAATTTTACAAATATTGATGTCATAGCTATCATCCAAGGCGAACATTATCAATCTCGAAGAACTGATGAGACTCATTATCGCGTTACTGACTTCTACGTAGATCTTGACGTTGGACAGGCCAACATCCATCTAGATAATTTATTCAACGGCGATGATACTTTATCTAATGCTATGAACCTCTTTTTAAATGACAACTGGAAAATTGTAGCGGCCGAAATTAAGCCAGCTCTTAAAAATACTATTTCGGAAATTTTTAAGACATTTTCAAATAAGTTTTACTCAAAATTTCCATTGGATATATTGCTGCCTCCTTAAATACATTACATTCATTCTTCATAAATGGCACATATTTTAGAAATAAGTTTATGTATAATATTTATTATCATTTTTATCCTCCATTTGTTTTAATTTTTTTACCGGTCTGTTATTACAGAATTATAGCTCTCCC